TGTGGTTCTATGATCAGGTTGCTCAGGGCCCTGTCCAACCTGACCTGGGATGTTTCCAGGGACGGGGTATCTACCACCTCCCTGGGCAACTTGGGCCAGAGTTTCACCACCCTCATTGTAAAACATTTCTTCCTTATGTCCAGTCCAAACATACCCTCCCTTAGTTGAAAACTGTTGCCCCTTTATTTGTCACTACAGGCCTTGTTAAGAAGTCTTTCTCTGTCTTTTCTTGAAAGGTCCCTTCCAACCCAAACTGTTCTGTGATTTTATGATTCCATGATTCTAAATGCTGGCTCCTGCAGTTGCATTCCCACCTTCTGTATCCAAACCCCTTTCAGATATCACTTTGACCCACAGCAAAGCAAGCCAATGACCTACCAGTCTGCCTTTTTCAAGCAGTCTACGCTCGCGTCTCTCTCCAGGAGGTAGGAGACACACTCCTCGTGGCCCATGGAGGCTGCTTCGTGGAGGGGTCTTTTGTAGTCATCATTGAACACCTCAATGTCCATCCCCAGCACCTCTACCAGGTAGGCGAGGACGTCCCGGTGCCCGTACCGGGCAGCGTGGTGTAGCAGCGTGTCCCCCGAGCGCCCATAGCGCTGGCTCCGCGTTGCCGGGCCCAGCATATCATCCGGCCGCAGCTCATCCCGGAGGAGGTCCAGTCGTCCCTCCTGCACCAGCCGGAGAAGCGGCCTCGGCCTCTCCCCCTCTGCCATGGCTAGAGGGCTGCAAGAAAGAGCCAAAAATCAGGATTACTGTTTCAAACTGTGAATATACTGGCTGCTCCCTGGGTCAGAATAAACAGAAATTACCTTTTCCCTCAGGAAAAACAGAACACATCCTCTCCCGCAGGAAAACAAGAAACTTCTGTTTCCCTTGGGAAATCCAGGAACGAGACCCTCCCTCTGGAAAACCAGAAATTTCCTTTTGCCCTCAGGAAAAGCAAGAATTGGCCTATCCTTTATGAAACACAGAAATTCTCTTTCCCCTCCAGAAAACCAGGAATTTCCTTTTCCCTCTGGAAACTAGAAACTATCCTTTCACTCAGGGACACCAGATATTTCCTTTTCCCTTAGGAAATCCAGAAAATTACTTCTCTGTCAGTAAAACCAGAAATTTCCTTCTCCCTCAGGAATACCAGAAACTGGCCTATCCCTCAGGCGAAAAAGAAAAAAAAAAGATAAATTCTTTCCCCCCCCTCAGGAAAACCAAAACTTTTCTTTTCCCTTAGACTCTGGTTTCTGGTTTTCCTATCTCAGGAAAAACAGAAATTTCCCTTTCATAGAGTCATAGAATAGTTTGGGTTGGAAGGGACCTTTAAAGGTCATCTAGTCCAAACCCCCCCTTTCTTTTTTTTTTTAATTAGGAAAAATTTCTTCACTGAGAGAGTGGTCAGGCATTGGCACAGGCTGCCCAGGGAGGTGGTGGAGTCGCCATCTCTGGAAGTGTTCAAAAAAACGTGTGGATGTGGCGCTTCAGGACATGGTTTAGGGGATATTAGTGCTGGATTAATGGTTGGACTTGATGATCTTGAAGGTCCTTTCCAACCTTAGTGATTCTGTGATCATGGTGATATAAAACAATACAGAAGATGTGAGGGTGTACATTAGGGTCTACTGCTTGTAGCTGAACTGTCCACCCAAACCCTTTTATCAGTCAGAGCAAACGTAGGAGCTACTTACAAACCACCTCAGCAGCGATACAGAGCATCATCATATTTTTGGGTACTCAAGCACGCAACTGTTCTAAGCCAACACTCAGTAAGGGCAACCCATCTTTTCATCCCCACGCAACGCAGCACAGTTTACAAAATAAAGGCTTGTGATCCCAGCTTCAGTCGTGCCGAAGGACTGATACAGAACAAGACGGTTGTTTCTCAGAGAGCGGAGTGGGATACGGAAGAAAAATTGCTTGCAGTGGCACTGAGTTATGGCTCCGGACCACGCGAGAGCTCGGTCTGGGCTACCTTCACCGCCAAGAACCCAGAGAGCAGCTCAGCCAGCCTCCCGTGGGACAGTTCTCTCCTCAAGGCCCGTTACAAGGGGCTGTGCCTAGTTACGTGCTCTCAGAACGTCCGTTTGCTTTTGGAGCAGATTCACGACAAAGAGCAAAACAAAGCAGCACCGTGTCCTTAGCGAAAACGGACGGCGGTTCGGTGCCTTTGTGGCACCTCGAATACGCAGCGTAACATGCAGAGATCCTCCTCTGACTCTTGAACTTGACTTCCAAATTACTAAGTCATTACCTTGGATAACAAAATCCAAAAGATATTAGGCATTACTTCTTCGTTCACAGCAGAATTGTAAGAAACCGGCCCCTCCGTCAGGAAAAATCAGAAATTTCCTTTCCCCTTAGGAAAACCAGGAACTGGCTGCTCCCTCAGGAAAAACAGAATTTTCCTTTTCTGTCTGGAAAACCAGGAACTGGTCTCTCCCGCAGGAAAACCAGAAATTTAATTCCACTCAGGAAATCTAGAAACCAGCCTCCCCCTCAGAAAAAACAGTAATTTCCTCATCCCTCAGGAAAATCAGAAACCAGCTGCACCCTCGGGAAAAACAGAAATTCCCTTTCCCCTTAGGAAAAACAGACAATCTCCTTCCTCTTAGGAAAACCAGAAACCAGTTGCTCTCTCAGGAAATCCAGAATTTTCCCTTTTCCCCAGGAAAACTTGACATTTCCTTTTTCCTCTGGAAAACCGGAAACCACTGTTTTCCAGGGAAAAATTCTCTTTTCCCTTAGGAAATTCATAAAATCACCTCTCCTTCAGTAAACCCAGAAATTTCCGTTTCCCTCTGGAAAACTCAGAAACCGGCCTCTCCCTCAGGAAAGCCAATAATTCCCTTTTCCCTCAGGAACAGCAGAGCCGGCCCTTCCCTCGGACAGCGTCCCCGCCCCCGCCGCTCCCTCAGGCCGCGTTCCCCTCCCCTCAGCCCGGGCCGTGGCAGTGCCAGGCGGTTAGAACCCACCCGCGTTCTGCTGGGGCTGCATGACGTCACGCGTGGCAATATGTGGCGGTGTGATGTCACCCCCGGAGTAGAGGGGGGACAAACAAACTCCGGGAACGTTTTCTCTCGGCCACAACAGCGTTACCCCCTCACTGGGCTCATCCGTACCCGGAAGAGCTGCGCCATTGGGCAGCGCCAGTCTCCGTTCGTTCTCTGATTGGTCGACGGGACGG